GGCTCCCACCTACGGTGGGGTAAGGGGGGGTCGGATGTACGCAGTCTTACCCCTGTACTAAAGCATAGAGAGACTGTTTCCGGATGACCCGTAGTGAAAATCGCGTCCAAAATTGCATGGACTGATTGCTGCTTCATAACAAAGAAGCGCAGACAGTTTAGTGAGGCATATATTCACTGCTAGAGTCTTAAAGTCAGTTAATTAGAGGCATATATTCACTGCTAGAGTCTTAAAGTCAGTTAATTCCCACATCCTGAATGAACAACATAAGCCCCAATGGATAGACTATAGCAATCAGATAAAGAGCTTCCACTAATATCAAACTTCAATAGGATTTGTTACATAAAACGATGTTGAGGATAAAATGCATCAAACACACATCAATATCTTCTGATACATACCGATTCCAAGTCCATGGCCTAAGCCTATTCCACATCCAATGCCAGCTTCAATGTTTTTTGCCCCCAAACGCCGCAACTATAAAATGCAATAAGCATACAAGACAAAACAAAAAAAACGAGAAGTTCCTTCTCTGACTGAGGCTACGGAAATGAAATAAAAAGGAAATTTTAAGTTAATTATCATATTTCAATTTCTATATTCTATTAAGAAAATATGATTTCATTATTATTATTATTTGATCTTTCCAAAATTTTAGCAACTTCATCAATTTCAGCAGCTTGGCATTTCAACCTAATGGGGGTCTAAACATTGTGTTGACAAAAGTGTATTCCCAAAGAAGAAAAAAAAAAAAATTGGCTTACATTTTTATTGACATTTCTTCCCACGGAAGAGAAAGCATCTGTGGCGCCTCTAGTTGCAACCATAACTTGGTCGAGCATTGGTATTGCAGCTGATACATGAAATAAGATCATTAATTGTTATCTACGAAGTATTAAGTAAGTAAATTGTGGAGATAAAAAAAAAAAACATAAGCAATGAAACAACATTTTATGCTTATGAAAGAACAAAATATAATCCCATCACATCAAATTGATAAATTTCTTTGAGAACTTCCACAAATCCTTCACCGAAACCAGAATAAGCAAGAGGGAAAAATCACAACCCTCAATAGGATAATGACACTTCAAAAATTCAAGCTTTCAGCACCACCACATATTTAATATGCAAACTGAAGGAAATGCAAGAGTCTCCTTTCTAAGTTTCAAAAATCTACTTCCACTTGTTGCTTTTGGCATTCAAATATGATGCAGCCATTTCTTCAGTAACATCCGGCTCAACAAACAACAGAAAAAACCAGAAAGCATCAAGAACAACTTAAAGACTAAACAGCTTTAAAACTTGCTGCATATAGTCACCTGCAAGCACAAACTAAAAAGAAATAGCGTCTATGTTAAATCTCATGAAATTTAGTCTTTGGGCTTCAAATCTTTTTCTAGTTCTAAGGCTACTCAATGTCATCGACAGAGTAAAAACAATTACTTGAAACTTTCTGGCATTTGCGGTTTCTGGGTTTCATAAAATCTTGAAAGCTCGTTCCAAAGTTTTGAGAGGGAGGGGGAGGGGGGGCGAACCAAGGTTTATAGGGCGACCAACACCAATGCCGACGCCGCAGCCGATTCCAAAGCCTGTAAATACTTGACCGACTTTCAAAGCAAAGGGATTCTCTATGCTTTCCCTTTCTCTGGTGACGATCACTCCTCCACTCCCACTCTTGGAATCCATTTGTCTGGTCCAACCGCCTTCTCTCGGCCTAGGAAACCCCCTTCTGGCTTCTTCAATCATTCTACCATCTCTTCTTTTCTTAGAAGTGACTATAGTAGTAATTTGACCATAATAACTTATATTGAACTTTTAAAGTTAAATGATCATGATAACTTAATATATGAGGAGGTGGTGTTATTATTAAGAAAAAAGAGTTAATGTGGTTGATAGTGAATTACTCCCTCTGTCCCCTTTTAAATGTCTCATTTTATCATATTAGGATGTTCCTATTTAATTGTCTCGTACCTTATTTGGTAAAGTTTGTGTGACTCAAAATCATTCTTACTTTATTCTTACATTATCAATTAATATCAACCACACAAACCCACTTTTCTTAAAACTCGTGTCACCCTCTTCTGTCCCAATAAAAAAGGGACGGAGGTAGTAATAAATTTAGAATAATGTAAGAATGATTTAGAAGGATCAAACATTAATTTTTTTCACTAGTGGTTGATAGTGAATTACCTTTAGTAGGAGTAAAATATAACATGCAACTTTTCCTTAAATAGGAGTCAATATCTAATATTTCGGTATTTCCCAAGTAGGATCAACCATTAATTTTCTACCCCTAATCTAATTAATTAATTGCCCCCTAAGTCCTTGAATAATCAGGTCATTCTATTGGTGACGTGTGGTCCATTGATTTTTTTTGTCGATGAAAAACGTAGGCTCCTATCGATGAAGACATTCTTTCTCGAGACCCCGACGATTGTAATAAGGGTATTACGAAAAAATATTTTTAAGGGCATTAAAGTAATTCACCAAGTTTGTTGTATAATATATGATTTAACCAAACAAATTAATGTCACATTCCTTTAGTCTCAACCAAACACAAATGGGTACAAATTGAATACATTCCCATCAATCTAACATACCCATCAATCTAACATTCCCATGGTAATCTGACATTCCTTGAACCAAACATACCCGAACGGTATGAAAAACAAATCGAATAAAAAAAGCATTATTGGCTTAATTCATCCCAAATTACTTCATCCCTTCTCTAATACTTGTTCTTCTTTCCATTTTGGGTTGTTTTCTAATATTTGTCACTCTTTCCATTTTTGGAAAGTTTTTTCAATAAATATACTCATTTATCCTCTTTCTCTTTCCTACTTTTTCATACACCACCCCTATTATTTTCCTCTTAAAACTTGTGTCAAACCCTATAGGGCCAACTAATAGAGAACGGAGGGAGTATTATTAAATTCACAAATCAATCTCATTCTTTCACTTTTAGTCAAAAAAAAAGGGAGATTTACCTAAATGGGAGTAATTAAGTTCTCAATTGCCCAAATTGGACTAAAGTTTAAATATTCCCAAAATAGGAGTTATTATTTGTTGTTGGACAGAAATATCCCTGAACCTTGACAAAAACACTACAGCATCCACCAGCATACCTGCGGACCTGCAGACCACCAGACCTACATCCGCCACCGCAGCATAAAAACTAACCACCCCTGCAGATTTGGCCGCTGCTGAGTTGGCCACCGCCGCCGCCGACTGCCGCCCATGTAGATCCGGCAGCCACCATTGCAGATTCGGACGCCGCCGTCGCAAATCCGGCCACCACTTCTGCAGATCTGGCTGCCGACGCCGCTGATGCCAACTTTTTCAACAGAATGCCAACTTGAATCGAGATTGTCATCTTAATGGCAATTTTAAAGGAAAATACAAAATTTTTGAAGAATAAAAAATGCCATTTTTATGGCATTTTCAGAGAAAGTTTTGGCAATTGTACGATGAAACGGAAGAGGGAAAAGACAGGCACAACCACAGAAGAGGAGGAAGGAGGAGGGAGAAGAATGAGCTACTTTACTCTACTTATAGATCTGAATCGCATTTGATACTCACTCCCTCGATGCTCGTTGATGCTTGTCGGCTCGTCGCTAGACGATGCTAGCCGCCGCCGCCGCAACCGAAGAGCTTGACTTTGCAGGTTTAATTTCCAATCGGAGAAGATGACTGGAGACGAAGACTCACCATCTTGTAACCTGAAATATGGCCTAGATTGGAGAAGATAAGCTAGTGTGGGGAAAAGAATTTAAGATTTAGAAAAGAAAACCTAATCTGCTAAGGGAAGATTGCATTATGTGCGGAGAAGGGAAGAGAAGTTGAATCGATGGTGTGGGGAGATGGGAGACGGGAATAGTCTGGACGAAGGAGAACGATGCAGGTAGGAGGGTAAAGTTGGAATAGTAATCTTATTTTGGGAATAAATTTTATGTACTCCTATTTGGGAATATGAGCAATTATTTAGTCCCATTCAGGACAATAACCAAAAAAAAACTCAAACTTTATCCTTTTAATCAATTATGCTTTTTTTTGTTTTTCCAAAATTACACATTTTTATCAATACCAATAAGATATAAGCAATACAAGTTTGTAAGCTTAAAACTAGTAAGAAGCGAAAAAATGTGAAATATAAATATGATTTTCTTCTTAAGTTGTACTAATTCATCCGTTGAAAGTATAATTGTGAGAAAAGTTGAAGTTTGAGTCTTTTTTTAATAAAAGTGAATGTATGAGATAGATTTGTGAATTTGATGATAGTTGAAGATATATTTAGCTAATAATCCATAAAAATGAAACTAAATTTGAAAAATTGAATGAAATCATAATTGTTTGGTTTCGATTTTTGTTTTCACCTCTAAAAACTTAATCAAACTGAGCAAACTTAACTTTTAAAATATGTTATTTTATTTATTAATCATTGTGTATTGTATTTTGTTTAGTTCTTAATTTTTAATTCTAGAAAATTAATGTTTGATACTGGATTTATTGTGATTTTTTAGATCTTGACATTTGATATTTGTAGTTTAATTAAGTAAACACTTATATATATACTTTAATTTCTTGCTATAAATTAATATATTGATGTTTTAAACTGTAATTTATATTTTGTTTGATGTTGTTGCATGAAGATGATATTTTATTATTATATTATTAGTAACTTTTGTTTGTTACAACACAACTTTTTATTACATAACTACATAAGTAATATGTATTCATCTAATATACTCCCTCCGTCCCGCCGCTATGATTGTCCCATTTTATCATTTCGGTCGTCCCACTAAGATTGTCTCATACTTTATTTGGTAAAGTTTGTGTGGTTCTAAATCATTCTTACTTTATTCTTACTTTATCAATTCAATATCAACCACACAAATACACTTTTATTAATAATTGTGCCACCTTCTCTTGTCCCAAATTTAGGGGTAGGGAGGTACTATACATTAGACAACATATAAATTATTCAATTATTCCCAAACAACTCATCACAAAACCGTGAAACTTTTGATCGGTGACGACATGTTGGACATTGGACTATTGACAGGGACAAGGCATTGGAGCAGTTTTGACTCGCGATGGGGTTCTCATCGTCGCGGCGGTGACATCCCATGGGAGAAGCGTGCTTTCAAGCCTTCAAGAGTCTGGCACCAATCTGGGGAGGTTTCATCCCGTTTCTCCTCCGGCAACCAGGCACGGCGGCGCCTTTTGCAGAACAGAGAACCTGTGACTACACATGGGGCAGAATTTGCTGGAAGAAATTTCTGGGAATCTCAGGTTTCTTCGATTGGAGCTCGTAGTCGACTCTGGCCTTCGAAGCGGCAGTTTTGGAATCCCCTACACCGACATGGTAGCTCAGTTGGGTTTCAAGGTGGGAAGTTGGAGGGGGTGATTTCCTATCCGTTCCCATTGTCACAGATGAGTTCGTCATTGAAAGTAAATTCTTTTGATTTAAAGTTATTGACAACGCTTCTATTCGTATTTCTGAAACAAAAGAAGGAATTTCATCTATATTGGACTTTGATTTTGCTAGGCTTACTTGGCTAAAGGATTCCATTATCAAGATTTTTTCTGATAATAAATCTTGTAGTAAGTTAGAGATGAATAAATCACCTATAGTTCGGTATGATGAAAATTACTTTGGGGGTTTTATCCAAATCATTGAAACAGGAAGCGGCTCTCTATTTATACCCGAGGGATGGAACGGGCAGGGGATTCATCTTTTTCTTACAGGAATTGCAAAAACAATTGCATTGTTGAAGGAAATCGCTGCAAAAACACGGGTTGGTGAGGTTTTCTCTGCAAAAGGAGGGGCTGTTGGACATACACTTCAGGTAAGGTTTTCTCTGATGAGGTGGCTTCCAATGACTTGGAACTTCTACCCTTTGATGGGAATAATCTTTATTGTGAAACGAGAACCTCCATCTCGGGTGCATTACTACAAGTCGATATTGAGCTGGTTTCGATTGATGATGTCCACAGTGTTGAACATATCCCCGATTCTTATGCACTTTTAGGGGAGAAAGACCTAAATAAGACCAAAACATGAGCCTGGAACCCAAATAGGACTTCGAGTTTTTTTAATCCTAAATAGGACTACTTTTTCCGTGCGGGACAAAAATAACCCCAGGCCTTAACTAGTTGACTGCCGCTAGCCTTTACAGATGCAGCGACCTCCCGTATGGCCATACATCACGCCGCCACACATCACGCTGCCACCGCACATCGAACCGCCGCCTGCTGCAACTTCTTACCAGTGCTTCCGCCTCAACAAGAAAAGCACTAAGAGGAAGACGAGTAAGTGCAGAATGAGAAAGAAAACCAAAAGGCAGCTCTCCATGAACATCCCAACAGTGTTTAACTTCGCTATCAATGAACATCCCCACAATGTTTGAATTGGAGAATAAGCTGGAGTAATTCTTCTCGTCATTATAGATCTGAGATCCGATGTGTTCATTGCCGATGTGCCGATGATAATCGTCGGACACTGTTAGGACAAAGATCGTCGCCAGAGAAAATTGGCTGAATCCTTCTTCTTCCTTCTCCCCCTACTTCCTTCTTCTCTTTTTTATTCTTCCTCTCCATCTTCTTCAATGACCGTTTGAGTCTCTGCCTCTTCCCCTTTACAGAGTCTCTGTTATCTACGTTTTTTGTTGTTTTACTTTTCATTTTCTTATATGTTACTTTACCTTTTTTTTTTAATTTTATGTTTCATTTTGCAATTTCATGCGAATAAATTACGGATAATTTTTTTTGAAAGGCTGAATAAATTAATATTTGAAGAGCATAACATTATTTACTTTGGTAAAATTTTTCTTTAATAATAAAATAATAAAAATTGTCTCACAATTTAATGTTAAAAGCATTGTTTTTATTTTGCTCGATTTTATTGCATTATTTTGAACAAAACATTGAATTACATTGTCCAAATTTATTATACCCATAGTATTAATTATTACCCAGTACAATGACATGATAATGTAATATAATGTCATTGTTAGAAAATGACACAATGTCAGAGAAATATCACAAATAACAATGACATAATATAATATAATGTCATTGTTAGAAAATGACACAATGTCAGAGAAATATCACAAATACCGAGTACGTAGTATCATAATTTGTATTAAAACATTGAAGATTAGAATGATGTTTCTTGTTGTTCAAATTTAATGTCACAATTTAATCATTTATGATTATAATTTTCATTATGAAGGACAAACCTCTTTAGGATCAAACTTTTCACTATCATTGTTACAATTTATAAAAATTTCAATGTCACTAAAATGTCATAATGTCACAATGTCAAAATTTGACGATGTCAATGCTATAAAAATGTCATTATGACAGTTACAGTGTCAACGACAATGTCGTGACAATGCCAATTCAATATTATAAAAATGACATTATTAAAAGCAATGTCAATAATATCTCCATATTAATAGGGTCACTGAGCTGTACGGATTGGTGTTTGTTATTTCTAGCTTTAAAATTCTTTTTTTTTTCTCATGACAATAATGTAAATGATGTTAATGTACAAAAACATTGCTATTATTTACATTGAGAATGTTTTTATAACATCGACATTATTTGACATTGTCATATAATAACATTCATTTTTAAACAATGACATCATATTACATTGTCATATAATGACATCGAGTTTTAAACAATGATATATTTTACATTGTCATATAATGAAATTGATTTTTAACAATGACATTGACTTTTAAATAATGACATTAATTTTTAAATAATGACACTATATTACATTGTCATATAACGACATTGATTTTTAAACAATGGTATTATATTACATTGTCATATAATGCATGTCACAATGTAAAATGTCGCAATATCAAATAATTATAATGACAATATTATTATCAATGACATAAAATGACATTGTAATAATCCCAATGTCAATGACTATCTTGATAATGTCAATGCTAATGTCAATGACATTGTTAAAAACAATGTCAACAATATAAAGTTGCTCATTAGTTAGCTAGAGTAGCTAGTTCTATGTTTTGGATGGATACTCCCCCATATTGTATATGTGACATTCTTTCCTTTGATTACATTAATGCCCGTTAATATATTTCCTTCCACAAAAAATAACTATAACAGCATGTCAGCAGGCAGCATCAACATCTGAATGACGAAGGCAGAAGCAATTACGGAGTAATATAGATACGGAGTACTAAACTAACCAAACTAAAGTTCAGATTTGAAAAGGGAAACTAGAAGCGATAAACATTTAAACCAAACACAAATGTAAAAGCCATTTTTTTTGGACAAAGCTAAAATCTAGTTACAATTTTTTAGAGCAACACCGCCAACACGAACTGGGTTTCAATTTCAAAAGGGAAATTAGAAAGGATAATAAACAAAACACCATTGAAAACATAGCACCGACCGAAAAACAATGCTAAAGTCTAAAGCAGAGCAACGGCAGAAGCTTGAAACAGAAGAGAGAAAAGAGCGGCAAGTCAGCGACCGAATTGAAGAGGGGAAAGAGAGGAGAAGAGAAAGAGAGGGGGAGGAGAAGATAGATTTGTATCATCTTCTCCGTTATCGGGCGCCGTCCATTGTCCCTTAGGTCTTAGGCTCAGGTCCGCGGCCAAGCACCGCCACCGCTTCCGCGCAGTTGCTCGCCTCATTTCATTCGCGACTTTGTCGACAAAGAAGACCGAAGGGAAAGGAAATAGGGATTAAGGGTAAATATGGAACTGACGGAAATTACACTCCTATTTAGGAGTTAAAAAGTTTCAAGTCCTATTTAAGTATATATGGTTAATTTTGGTCCTATTCGGCACCATTTCGACCTTAAAGAATTTTTTCAAGTCACTTTGACAGACAAATGGGGTAGATTCACTTTCTCATTTTTTGCTTTATGAGATTGACAAACTTCTTGCTGTGCTTTGGGTAACCAGGACAATTTGATTATAAAACCCATTTGACAAACCTTCTCGAACGCAAAATGATTCAGGGAAAGCTGATAATAACAACATTGGAGTTTTAGAGTCATGGAATATTGGCATTGCGGGTGATCACACAGATTTTGGTTCGGATTATGCAAATTTGGACTGTAGCGGTAATCTTAATGCAACTTTTGAGGAAGATTTTGGAGGATCATACTCTACACATTCAGGTGATGAATTCCTTGGTCATGTCTCGAAAAATGAGAAAAGGGTTCCTATTTCAACGGTAGATAACATTTGGGATTCTGATACTAATGAAATTATTTGTCAAAAAGTTTTGTTGGTCATACGAGATAACTGCTTACCCACACAGAACTTGAACACTCAAAAGAGAATGCATAAAAAGAAGAATCAGAGATCACATCTGATGAGAACTAGATCTCAAACATGAGCGGGTCTTTGAAGATTCTACTTAGGGCTAGGTGTTTTTAGGGGGTGATTCTACTTAGGGCTAGGGAAAGTTTCAACTTTGGGTTGGGTTCTACTCTTGTTTGTCTCTTTTTTGTTTGTTTTTATGTTTCTGCATTTCTTTCATGTACTTTCATTTGATGTTTCTTAATAAAGTATTTAAAAAAACATTGTCTAAAAAATAAAATAAGTTATTTTAAGTTAGTTACCATTAATAAAAAATATTACTCCGTAGTAAAAAGGAAATGAATCACTATACAAAACTGTTGCAAATAAAAAGTTTAACTTCAGGTTTGTAAACTTATGCTTTTATTTTTTTTAGTTTAAGGAGATATACATTCTATAGTTCATTGATTGTAAGTGCATTTGTTTTTTTTTTTTTTTGTTTTTTTTTAAATAAAGTTTTTATATTATATTGCTATCAATTATTGTTTGATGTGGTGTTTTTAATTACTATGTTTTTAATCAACAAAAATATTTTGGCAAAAACCAAACAAACTGAAACTGGTCCGAAATAAATCGAATTGAACAAATGATGATTTCAAATTTCGAAAGATAAAATTGAACCGAACCGAACTGAATTTTTTACTTCGATTGGCATTTCATTTTAACTAAAAGCCAAATCATTTGAATCAAACTCAGTCCTACCATGAATGGTATGCTTAAAAGAGAATATTACCCGAAATAGGACTAAAAAGGTTTGAAAATTCCAAAATAGGACTGCCATGTTTTTATTCCCAAAATATGACTAATTATTGCCATGTTTTGGCAGTACCAGACTTCAAACATGGCAATATTTTCCAAACATGGCAGTAATTACTCCTATTTTGGGAATAAAAAACATGGCAGTTGATGGACAGTGTACTCGGGGGTAGCTTATCCGAGGGGTTATTATGAGAATAACCTAGAGAGAAGTCAGAGCAAACAAGTAGGAGAGAGAGGCGATTGTATTAATGAACTCGAGATGTTCTGGTCCTTTACAATGGGAAAAGGGGGTGCTATTTATAGCAGCAATAAATGCGATGAGAGTACACGTGTCAGCAATCTAACGGCCGAGGGGTCACCTCAATCGGGTGGCACTAGCATTCGCATGTGCACCGCATTGAATGCGGTGGGTGGATGTGACGCCGCATTAAATGCTGTGGTTGCTTGTCTCCAAATGGAATCTTCGATGATTGAGTTGTTGGCCGAGGGCTTCCCCTGCGGCCGAGGGGTCTGTGTACCCGAAGGCGCTGTACAGCCAAAGGCTTCCCAGACGCTGAAGGCACGAAAATGCCGAAGGCTCCTGTTTTCTGCAATTTTCTCCCAGTAACTTTGTATGCTCAAATTTGGCTGCCCTGTGTAATTTGGAGCCCTCGGCCAAATAGGCCGAAGCCACCCCTATGCGTATTGTGGGCTTCTTGACACATGGGCCGCCGTATTTGGGCCCTGGGCGTGTATTGGGCTCATTGGGCCTGTGAAGGAGAAGTAAGAGTCTGTGGGCCGGGGGTCCCTGGGCCATATACTCCATCAGCAGTCCTATATTGAAATTTTCAAACTGTTTTAGTCCTATTTCGGGAACTTTCTCATGCTTAAAATTTATGCTCCCTGAAATTTTGTTCCAGGGCCCATTTGGTACAATATTGTACAATATTGTACAATTGTACGATAATATAAAATGGAAGGAAATAAGCAGAAGATCAGGGATAGAAAGTATAGTATGAACACTTAGTGATAGATTATGTTATTGAGAGTGTGATAATAGTGTTGTAATGGTGTTTAAGAAGTGTCTTTACAATGAACGAGAACACTCCTATTTATAGGAGAAAAACTAAACTCCTTAGGATGAGAAGATAATTGTTGTTGGGATATTGGGTCCAGGCCCAATACCCCCGGCCCGAAGTATGAGGAAGCCAGGAGAAAGCATAAGGCCCAAAGCAGTCCAGACCCGATCGACATTCGGCACAATTCTTCTACTTGGAGTATTTCAGGAAACAATTGCACCGAAACACCCCTGGCAGGGTCCTGCACACCGAACGGCCTACCCGAACGGGTAGTCAGCAAGTGGAGGCCGCATTTAATGCTAGAGCATGGCAGCAGCAAATGGAAGCATGGGTGCATACGTGGCAGAGGTCACAGCCTACCGAATTCCGCCACGTGTCCAGCTTACCCATCCCCATTTTAGGATAAATACATGTGTTAAGAACATTGTAAAGTGTTAGCATTTTGATACTCAGAGCTTAGCAAATAGAATTGTATCTCTTATTCTTGTATTCTTCTACTCACCTACCGTTCGGGTAGTCCAGTGTAATCGCAACATTACTGAATACAAGTTAGCTCCTGAGTTGAATAATCTTTCACTGTTTTATATTTTATACACTTTCCAAATCAACCAAACATCCTTACAATATCCAAAGCTTGTGTTGGGCTTTCGGATCTTCGGGTTTAAACCCCACAGATTGGCGCCGTATGTGGGAAACTGCTGTCTATAGCTTGGTTTTTTAAACCTTGCTTCAGTCTATAGCTTTGACGAACCACGACGAAGTGAAATCGTTATGGTGGAATCCGAGCTATAACTTGGAGGTGAGTCTCCATTTTAGCTTGAAATACAAGAGATGACCCGTACAGGAGATCTTGTGTTTAGTTTGAAAATGGACATCTCAAACCCATAATATGGATGTCCCGGAACGGCAGAACCGAACGGGTGCATCGGAATTATGGGCTTGGAAGATGGTGGGCATTAAAAACCTTACCTCAGTCTATAGCTTTGGCGAACCACGACGAAGGGAAATCGTTATGGTGGAGTCTGAGCTGTAACTTGGGGGTGAGTCTCCATTTTAGCTTGTATTTGGCTTGAAGATGGACATCTCAAACCTCTAATATGGGTGTCCCTGAACGGCAGAACCGAACGGGCGCATCGGAATTACATGTTTAGAAGATGACAGGCATTATCTGAGTAATCCACTAAAGCTTAGGTAATGATCTGTACGATCGGGGAATCAATCTCGAACAAACAAGGTATATTTATTCTTCGGCACTACCGGTCGGAAAACACAAAAGAATGAAAGAATGACGAATGAAACAAAGGAAAAACTATGCTACGAGAGGATCCCTGTTCGAGGAAGCACCAACTTGGGGGTTTGAAAGCT